AAAAAGTTTAAAAAAGAATGAAAGGACGTGGCAAGTTCATCCTTGCCATTAGTGCCAGGTCATCCTTGGAAGAGTCATATCAGCATCAGCATCAGAGTTGCCTTTTCTACAGAAGCCTGTCTTCCTGGTGCTCACCTCGAGCCCCTCAAAGAGAAGCCTGCATGTGGGCTCCTTTGTATCCCCTCACAGTGCCCACCAGCATGGCTGTCCCTCAGTGAGGGGTCAGTTCACTCTTGGACCACCAGTTCCCTTCCTCCTGGACAATGGAGAGCCAAGGCCACTTTCCTTCCCACTCCTATCCAAGACCGCTATCCTTGTGAGCACGTGTGGGTGCCTCCTTCCAGTGGACCTGGGTCTTGCCAACCCCGACCTGCTGAGGTCTATGAGTCTAGACTCTCTGCCCTCAGCATGCACCGTTATCTGCTAAAACCACCAATGAAAGGTCTTGGGGCCCAAACATCTCACAGTAGTCCCTGACTTTAGGTAGGTAAGAAGACTGAGTTGCTGGTGTCAGCCAGGCAGCGAACATGTGTGGGCCCTTCTTGGAGCTGGAGGTTTCTGGGGTCATCTCTCCCAGTCCCTTTCCAGTGACCAGCTGGTGGAGTTTTCAGTTCGTCAGAGGCAGAGCTCATCTCCCCCAGGATGACCTATTTGATTTTTGGCCAACAAGTCTGATAGAAAGTTCGTCTGTTTCTCTGAAAGTTTTGTCTCTCCCCATGGGCTCCATCTCTTCCCCATGTGGCTGTTCCAGGAAAAACCAGTTACTTCAATGGCATAGCCTTTCCAACACTGGAGACCACTTCCCTTCTACCTCTCCCCCATTCCTGTTAGTCCTCCTCTGACTTGTCTTTTCATCTCTGGGCACAGGACTCAGAACATCCTCTGACTTGCCATAAACTGAGGCCACCAGAACCGAGTCTGGTCCTGTGGGTGAGGCCCAGCCAGCACACCCCATCCAGATACCACCCTACCACCCCACCACCCCATCCATTAATGTGGTGTCAGGTCTGCCTTGGATGTTTTTAGAAGTTGCATAGCCCTGCTGACATTTGCTAAGCTTACAACCAGTCAGTACCTCCAGGTTTCTTTACCATAATCTGCAACTCAGCCCCATCTCCACATTTTTGTCTTTCTGCTTGCATTCATTGGTTGGGGCTGCCATAGCAATACCAAAACTGGGTGGCTTAAGCAACGGAAGTGAGTTGTTTCCTAATCCTAGAGGCTGGAAGTCTGAGATCCAGGCGTCAGCAGTGTTGACCCCTTCTGAGGGCAGACTCTGTTCATGCCTCTCTCCTAGCTTCTGGTTTCCTGGGAGTCTTTGGTATTCTTTGGCTTTTAGAAACATGTTTCTAATCTCTACACTCATCTTCATATAACCTTCTCCCTGTGTGCCTGTCTTGAAATTTCCCCCCTTTTCTAAGCTGACCAGTCATACTGATTTAGGAGCCCACTCTACTCCAGTATGACCTCATCTTTATTACATATGCAGCGGTCATTATTTTCAAATAAGATCGCATGAGGTACTGGGGGGTTAAAGCTTAAACATATGAGGTTTTTTGGGAGGGGGTGTGCTAGGCACAGGTCAGCCCATGGCAGTGCTGTGACTTTTTTAGTCTTAGGTTTGGGACTCTACATTTTCTCCTAATTTCTATTGTCTGAGTTCAGCCCATCTCTCTAGCTGATTAACATATTTTAGAGTCTGACACTGAGTGTATCTGGTGTTGCTCTCAGCTTCAAAAGCTCCCTGTATTTTGATCCCAGGAATTATAAGATGTGGGTTGGTGTGGGACAGGTCAAAGCTCTCCAGCACTCACCTGGACCCCTCCCTCCTAGTGGCCTTGAACCATGTGGTGAGTGCCCTTGAGTACCTATGATTGTGCAACTGGCTACACGTCCCACTAGTTCCGCCACCTTTTGCTTGCTTGCAACAGTTTCACCAAGAGCATGTCACGTGTTTTCAAGATCAGCTACAGGGGTAAACCTTGTTTCCCTCACTTACCAGCCTGGTGGCCCTGTCAGTGGAGGAGCTGAGCTCTGCCCGACAGGACTTCCTTACTGAACACGCGCTGTCTGCCTGCAGTCTCAGCTGCTCTCTCCAAGTGCCCACCACCCTGCCTGTCTTGTCTCTTCAGGAATTTTCTCCGGCGGCACCTTGACTTTTCCTCTCTGTGGTTTTGCAAAAGCCGGCTCAGACCCCTTTCTGGAAGTGAGCCTGTCTCCTGCCTGCCAGGATCCTGTCAGGATTCCCACAAGATCCACAGCTGCTCTGGGCTTCATTTGCATGTTCCCGGGGATATGTGGCTGGGCCCAGTAGCCTGAACTCATTCGGAGCAGCTGGAACTTTTTTCACCAGCCTCCGGCTCGGGCCTCCTGTGCCCGTGGCGCCTTTCCACAGAATGTCACTCCCAGACGGAGAAGACAGGAGCCAAAGACAGAAGTGCAGGGCCCGTCAGAGGAGCCCCCCATTCTGGATGCCACCTAAGTTCCCTTGTAGCATTCCTCCCCTTCCCAGTTCCTCTTCCCCACATTTCTTTCTTTCCTAAAGTCTCTCCTCTCCTTTCTGATGCTCTGTGACTCTATGAGGGGAGGTACTTGGGCAAAGGCGAGGTGTGGGACCAAGGGGCTGGGGCATGGGAGGGCTGCGAGGTGCCAGCTCCCCCATTCCCTCATGGGGTGGCTGGGCAAAATATTTCTCCTCTCTGCAGCTCAATTTCCTCATCTGTAAAGCGGTTATCAAACCTACTTCAGAGTGCAGTCATGGCGTGTTTGCATGCTAAGTCACTTCAGTCTTCTCTGATTCTTTGCGGCCCTGTGGACTATAGCCTGCCAGGATCCTCTGTCCATGGGATTCTCCAGATAAGAATACTGGAATGGGTTGCCCTTCCCTTCTCCAGGGGATCTTTCTGACCCAGGGAGTGAACATGTGTCTCATATCTCCTGCATTGGCAGGTGGGCTCTACCACTGGCACCACCTGGGAAGCCGTGCAGTCATGGGGGCCAAATTCAACGTATCCCTTTCAGTAAAGTAGGTCACCTGGAAAAGTGCCTGGGGCCTGGGGGTACCCAACAAACCAGTCCTTGTACAGAGGGAACTGGCCAGCCTGAGTCTGATGCGGAGGGTGGGGAGAAGTCGGGGTCACAACCTGGGCCCTGCACATGGGAATGGGGGCCATGATGCAGTTAGGCTGTTAGAATGGAGAAGAGTGAGTGAGCCTGAGAAGATGGGGGAGGAAGAAGCCCCAGGACTGAGCAATTTGCAGAAGAGGATGGAGGGTTGTGAGGATTTCCTAGAGTTTCCTGAGAGCTTATGTTGTGCCAGGTCACTTAAAACACTCTGGTATGTATCTTAGTTCAGGAAAGCCCTAGGAGTAGGTCTGACTTTACTACCCCTATTTGGGGCTTCCTGGTGGCTTAGACAGTGAAGAATCTGCCTGCAGTGCAGGAGACCTGGCTTTGATCCCTGGTTGGGAAGACCTCCTGGAGAAGGGAATGCCAATCCACTCCAGTATTCTTTCCTGGAGAATTCCATGGGCAGAGGAACCTAGCGGGCTACAGTCCATGCGGTCACAAAGAGTCAGACATGACTGAGTGACCAACACAGCATCCCCTGTTTACAGATGGGGTGACTGAGACAGGGAGATATTAGGTAACTAGGAAGCCAATGCCCAGGTTTCCAGCCCCGGCAAGCTACTGTCTCCTGGCTTGTGCTCTCCTCTGTCGGACCCACATGCTTTTCTGTTCCCCCATTCCCTTCATCCATCATGACGACCCCATCCCCAGCTCTATCCTGCAGGATCCTCATAGCTTCTCCTCTTCATGATTGGGGTGTTGGGTGGGGCTCAGGGCTCTACCCTTCTCTAAGGACACTTCTCAGGGCACCTTCTATGAGGTCCTAACTCACATCAATCAGTCTGTAGAAGGAAGGATTTACTCCCACCATCAATCTGTAGAGGAAGGATTTACATTAGATACAGGGAAAGTGTGAACTGCAGGAGAAGCTAAAACAGCTGATGGAAAGCAACTCTGGCATGACTTAGCCAGAGATCTTCCGGGCTAGGGTGGAGGCAGGAGGAAGAGGGTGGGGGTAGGTCTGCTGCACCCCGGACCTCTAAGAACCATGTCTCCGAATGCAGGGTGAGTGGCAGTGATGTGCTCCGCTTGGCAAGATGGTTGACCCTCCTCATTAAACCATGGCTTTGCTTACATTTCATAGCCCGGTCCTGCTGGGAGAGAGGACTGCTCTGAGATCGTCCTACTGGGCTCAATGTCTGTAGTGGTTTCCATTTTAGAAACTCCTCTTCTTGAGAGGGCAGGACCAGGGAGTCTCTGCCCAGGTCTGGGACTTGGGTGGGATAGGAATGAGGGTGGGATGCCTGTGACTGTCCCCTGCTCTGTCCTGCCCTAGCCTCCTGCCTGGGAAAACCTGCCTGGCTGTGAATTAAGCCTTCTACTGGTGCTGTGGCCTCATGTAGGGGCTCAAAGTCGAAGGCACAGGTAGCCCTAGGGGTGGATAAATGCCTCCAGCTGCCAGGGATTAATTCTAGGGGGATCTGCTTTGTATTCTCAAATACAAATACCATGGGTGAGGCCCTTCTATCTGCCAGCCTCTCATTTAAGTGCTCCTAGAGGACTATAAAGGAGAGATCAGCCTCCAATTTACACACAAGGAAAAGTCTTCAGAGAAATTAAGAAACTTACCTAATATTGCACAACTGTATACAGGTGAGGTAGCCAAGTCACAGGAAACCCAAAGCAAGTACTCTTTCCAACTGATGATGGGCTTCTCCCAGTAGTTTGGTACCTGCCTAAAGGTTCCTGTAGATCAGGAGGGCCAGACAGAACCAGGGAAATACATCTGGTGGTGGAGGGGAGGTTGGAAATGAAGGTTTCAAGCCTTGGGGTATGAGTGTTTTTCTGCCGGAACATTGTCCATAAGTGCTGTGACTGCTTGGAGACCCAGGCTTTGGGTCTCTCTGGGTCATTCTTCATCCTTCAGGGTGATGGAGATGCTCTTATGGGAAGCCATCCCACCCTTCCATAGCTGTGGTCTCCCTCTCCTCCTCCACCTACTTTCTCTCTGTCTCCCTCCCTCCCTCTGCAGCCCTGTACTGGTTCCCAGGCTGGCCCTCTCCTGTGACCTCTCTAGGGCAGCAGCCTCGATGTCCTTCTGAGCCCTCTAGTGACCACTCCCTGCACGTCTGTCAGGAGCCCGTATGCTGGGCACTTTCTGAGCCTCCAGGATGGAACTTTGTCACAGGCTGTGTGTGCATGTGTGTGTTAGTGGTGTGGGAGGGGTTATTTCACAGAGTCCTAAGGCAAAGTCAGCTGCTCTGTGGAGGCCCGCGCTCCCATCCCAGTCTGAATTCAGATTCCCACTGTTCTTGGCCAAAACTCCAGACTTCATCTCCTGTCTTCCTGTGTGCACAGGGCATCTGGGTAAATCGACAGTGAGTGATTACCCAGAGGTCCCACTGTTCCCTGCATTGGACCCGCACAACCCTGAGCTTGCTCCTGTGTGACAAGGAGGCTGGACTGGGGCGGCCACAACGCGGATGCTCAGTGTGCCTGGAGCTCTGCTCTCTAAACACATGTTCCCTGATCCCCAGGGGACCAGCCCGTGACTTGTTCCCTCATGTTATGGCTGGGGAAACTGAGGCTCTGGTGGTTAAGTAAGTGGCCCCAGGTCACACTCTGTCTCTCTGGCTCCCTCTGTTCCCTTGCAGCCCTGACAGGTCAGGGCTTGTAGGAGGAAGGGGTTCAGCAGCTCATTTGAGAGGCTTACTAACCTCCCCCCTGCCCCCTGCACTTACTCTGTGCATTCAACAATGGCCCTTGGGCCTGTTCACTTGAGGGTGGACTCCTAGGATAGGTTGTCCATGAGAACAATGTCCCTGCACCCATCTTTGAGGGAATCCCCTAACCTCAATGACAGTCCCATGACTGCTCAGCCTAGATGTTCAGCTCAAATCACACCCCATATTTGTCTTAGAGGTTTGGGGTGATGAGGGGATTTGGAGAGGCTCGCATCTCAGAAGCTCTGATAGACATCAAACTTTACTCACTACAGGTTATCAGATTATTTTATCTGTGTTAAAGAGACCTGTTTCATGGGTCTGACACAACCTGGCACCCTTCCTGAGGGTGTGGAGGTCAATGGGAGGGAGGCTGGGCTTTAGCCTGCAGACTGGTCCATGGAAAGTCAAGTGTCCATCCTTCGAGACATCAGATAAACCAGCATTTCTCCTGCTGGGCTACCTCTGATGGGACCATGCTAAAATTCTTATGGGTTCTAAACTTCAAAACCTGGTGAAGTGTTTACATTGTCATCCTTATTTTCTTCTCCCACCAATGGCAACTTCCTTTTACTGAATTCCATGCCAGATACTGTTCTACATCCTTTTTGTACATTATCACACTTAATTCTTACACCAATAAAAATTCTGAATTTGGTACTGTTATACCCATTTTAGAGATGAAGAAATCCTCCAGAAAGAACTTTTCCAGGGCCACACATCTACTAAGAGGCAATTTCAAACCCTTGTCTCCAATTCTGAACTCCAAGTCCTGTCCCAGCACACTGCACGACACCTGCCATCAGAATGGGTGTCCAGGGAGACTCTGGCTGCCTCGCTCTAAACAGGAGCCCTGGAATTCTGGCCTTGCTGAGGGCTCCCTGTCCTATGTCAGGCAGAGCTAGCCATGCTGTCCACTTCCCTTGTTCCTCCTGGGTAAGCTCTGCCTCTCCTCTCCAGACCTATCTGGGGTTGGGCTTGAAGACACCCACCCAGAGTGCCCACCTTCAATAGCTGTGGCCTTTCCCTTCCCTGGACATCTATGGGTGGGGAGGGTGCTATCCCTTCTCATTCCTCTGGCACACTGGGGTGGTTTTTTAAAGGCAAGAATAGAACTCAGAAGGAGTTTCAGAAAGAGAGGGACAAGATGCTTCAGAGCTCCAGGCCAGCAGAGTCTCCTGGTCTTCTCCGGCCTTGAGGTCAAGGTTACAGGGAAGGGAACCCAAGCCATTCGCTGTAGTCCTGGCTAAGGTGGCTACATGGGTGGCTGTTACTGCCTGAATACCCTCTGGGCCATGCTTTGGTGAGTTAGACTGGTAGCATTTCCCCAGAGCCCTGACCCCTATTTTCCTTCGTCATGCCATTTCAAAAGGGGATGTGTGGTTTAACACAGTGGTTCCCAACCTTTTTGGCACTGGGATTGGCTTCACGGAAGAGAATTTTTCCTTGAACTGAGGAGGGGTGGGGGATGGTTTCAGGATGATTCAAGCATATTACATTTATTGTGCACTTTACTTCTATTATTACTGTAGCAGCTCCAACTCAGATCATCAGGCATTAGATCCCAGAGACTGGAGATTGGTGATTTTGGTTTAGTAATTCTCCTCCTTGGCAGCATATTAGAATCACCTGGGGGGACTTTTGAAACTCCTGAAATCCAGACCCCACCATTGAAGGGGGATTCCATCTGTCCATGTGGGACCCATGCATCAGTGAATTTTAGGGCTGCCCAGATGACGCTCATGGACATCAGGGACAGAGCCCAGGGCACTTCCTGCCTTGAGCTTCAATATATCAGTCCCCCGATGATGCTGGGGGCTCCACTCTCAGGGCAGAGAGAGGGCCCAGTTAGTCTGTGTCCTTTGCCCAGCCCAGTGCCAGACACCTGGGCCTCACACAGTCTGTGTGTCCAGTTGTTTTGAGGAAGCTAAAACCAGAAAACATCTTGGTTTTCCCCTCCTTTGATCACTTTTCCACAGCATGGATGTTGCATCTTCTCAGAAAGGGATCCTTGATTTTACACCCCCAGTGGGGGTATCTTATACCCTAGGGAATCACGACCTTAGCAGGATTTCAACGTCACTGGTGAGTCTCAGTGGCTGGAAACAGAGCAGGGGACATGGGTAGGTCCTTTGTGGAGCAGCCATGGGGCTACATCTCTTATCTCTGTCTCTCTCTCACACAGATGAATATAAATGTGAACAGAGGTGGTAAATCTCTAGATACAGGGTGGAGTGGGGCGTGATGTGTCAGGGTTGAAGGAACACATTTTGGGGTCTCTGACCTGTCCACAGGACCCTCATCCTGCAGGGGATGCTTGGATAATTGGAATCTGCAGAGCTAACACGGACCCTTCCCTCTACCCACAGTCCCTCTTCTTACAGACACCCCCGCTGTGTGTTCTTCCCCTAGGGGAAGTAAGGAAATAGGAAAGAAAGTAGCAGAAGTGGGAGCCTCTCCTGGAGAGTGGAGAACAGTGTGGGCGCGTTGAGAGGCATCTGGGTAAAAACTGCCTTTCATATGGGGCTCCAGTGCTGAGCCTTGATTTCCTGCCAGCCGCTCTGTCCACGGACCAATGGCCCCGCCACGGGCCCACATTTCCTGCAGCCTCCCTGAAAACTGGGTGACATTGATGTAGAGGGTAGCACCGGGGAGCTCGGGGCTCCTCTGCCCTGAGGCCTGAGCCACATCAAAGGTGCACCTGTGGGGGTGTGCAGGCTGTGTCTGCCTCACCCCCATCCCCCGACCCCCACCTGAAGCCCTGGGTAGCCGTAGTCCCCACTCCAGCTGGAGGTCCCAGTCGCCCCCCTCACCCCCACAGCTCCTGAACCCAGGGCCCAGGGAGACCCCGCCCTGTGGGTCTACATCCCACCTGCTGCTCAGATGGCCACACCTCTCCCCTGGCCTCTAAAACAGACCCTTCTCCAAAAACTGCAACCAAGTTGGCTGCTCTCTGCTCTTTGTCTCATCTGCCGGGTTTTCAAGCGTGTGGTCTCTGCCCATGGCCTCCATATCACCTCCCTGCCCAGGTCTCACTTTAGTCTCTTACCTTCTGGTTGCTGTCACTTTTCCCGGTGGTTTTCTTTGGGAGCTGCTGGTGACTCAGTCCAGTGGCCAATCCCCAGTGCCCGGTCCCCCAGGAACCCCCACATTTCTCACACCCTGTCCTTCTTGGCTTGCTCCTGAGCAGTCTGCCCCCTGCTCTCGTGCTCTGCACTCCCCCAGCCATGTCCCTCCCATTCTGATCCCACCCATCCATCAGGGCAAGGACAAGCCTGCCTGGTGCCCGGGTGCCTCCTCCTGGGCCCCAAGCAGTGGAGGGCCTCACACAGCCCTTTAGCAGATACCTACTGTGTGCCTACAGGGGCTGAATGCTCGTCGAGCCCTCAGGAAGGGAAAGAACTGGCAGGTCCTGCCCCCATGGAGTTTATATTCTAAGCAAGGGCACAGAGGAAAAACAGTGAACAGAGCAGATCTTGTAATGTGGGAGAAGCTAAACAACATGTGGTAGGATGTTGTTTTAACTATTTGAATTTGAATAATTCAAACTTGAATATATCCCAAAGCAGAGAGAATACACAAATTCCCATATATCCCTTACTTTGCTTCAACAGTCATCAATATTTCACCCATCTTGTTTCATCTATTCTCCCCCTCAACTTTTATTTATCCCAGTGTATTTTAAAATAAATCCCAGACATGGTGCAAGTGTTATCTATGGATACTTCAGTGTGCATCTCAACTGATTAAGATGTATTTACATTGTATATAGACACAGTGCTATTGTCAAGCCTAAGGAAATGAACAGTGTATTCTTCTGGGACTGTTTCACTCATCTGTGTGTGGCAGTCTTGCCTCACCAAGTGTTGGAAGCCCCTTGAGGGCAAGGATCATGGTGATAAGAAAAAAGACCCAAAGTTTGGAAACAAGGCAAAAAAAAAAAAAAGGACCAACTCCATTTCCTGGTGACTTCTACTGCAGGCTATCTGGTTCCCCCAAAAGTTATTTAACTCTCCTGGGGGATATACTTTTGCTTTACTTTCAACTTATTATTAAGAGCCAGATTGTATGATGTTAGATGTTAACATGTAGATTGGCAACAGAGATCTGTAACCAGTAGAGGCACAAATGATTTCTGTCTAGTAGAGAAGATATCTTCAAAAGTTTTTGCTTCTTGCCCTGCAGGACATTAACCAGTATTGTTTCCACTTCACAAACTCATTTCTGCATTCCTTTCTTACTGATTGTATAAACCCCTATTCTTCAAATTCTCTTTGGAACTCTGAATTAAATTATATTTATATGACAGCATT